AATTAGACCCAAGAGGAAAGGGTAAGATAAAACTTAAAAAAATAATAATTGAGATTATTTAGCATGGCCATGTGGAGCTGAAGGGAAGATTTAAGGAGAATCATCTTTAAGTGTATGAAGGGCCCATATTGAGAAATGGTGACCAGCTGCTCCTTGTTTCTACTGAAGCTTGAACAAGGGCATTTGGGTGTAAATTGCGGCTTTAGAGATTTAAGTTAGAGATTCTCAAAATAGAATTGTCCTTGGTAAACAATGTAAAATATTGTAATGTATTATTTAAAATGCACATGGCATGGTAGAGAGGCTTTTTTTTTTTTTTTAAACTAATAGATTCATCTGTGGCTGGGGATCCAGAAGTATATGACCAAAATAGATCATGTATTAAGTTTATGTCCAGTTTTATAATCCTGTGATTTTTATAATGAGAAACTACACATTTATAGTTTAAAAATAGTGACCTCAAATAACCAATGGTGCCATTAGGGCACAGTCTCTGCCCTAGAAAAGCTGGTTAGGTTAGGCTGGATTAGGTTGCGGGGTGTGTGTGTGAGAGAGAGAGAGAGAGAGAGGAAACCAAATATTACAAATGATCAATACAAGGGACAGAATCGTTTTAATTAACAAGCACTTTCTTCAATGTGGACTGTGTTTCCAATGGTCCATCCATCTACCCATCCCCAAACCAGTATTTATTTAGAGTCTCCCTTGTGCAATACACTATGCTGAATGCTGGGGAATCAGCAAAGAAATGGTCCTTTTGCCCTTATGGGTTTATGGTCTAGAAGGAGTTACAGACAAGTACAAAGGCAGCGGAATAAGAATATAGCGTGATGAATGTTAGGAAAGGATACTTACAGAGTTCTATGGGAACACAAAGAGAGGGGCCCTTAAACTATTCTTAGGGGATCAGGAAAGGCTAAATAGAGGAGCTGACTTCCAGCCAACTCGTGACCAAGCAGAAATTGGCCAGGTACGTAGCAGAAGTAGCAAGCATATACTTACATCCAAAATGACATAAGTGCATAGAAATAATTTATGTTCACAAAATAGAAAAAAATCTATTCCATGGGACTCTGTTTTGAAAACACCTAAAGTTAACACGTTATTGATTATCCAGATTTGTTTGTCAATAAAGACCTGGTAAGCTATTTGCAAAAATGATCTTAATACCTATGGGTTCTTTGGAAAATTTTGGATGGTGTAAATTTCAAAGAGTGGCTCTAGAAGTTTGTGTGATTTCTATGTTCTATCCCCTGCATGAGGGATTTGATCCGCAGGTAACTATTGCCCCTACAGACAGCTACCCACCTGGCATCATCACTTCATCACTAGCCATCAATGAATAACTAAATTTCGGCATCTAAACAAAGAAAATAAATTGCTTCTGGTAATGTATTTAATTTCAAAGATATATGGCCTAATGATGTTGGAAACAAATAGCCCGGATTGAAGGGATTAAAGCAATTCAGTCGTTTTTCTTTGTCACATGTGCATTTCTTAAACATGGACTTTCAAAGGATACACCCCCAACGTACTCTTATTTTCAAAACCTACAAACAAGTTGAACCCGATGAGTTGCTAAGCATGGACAAACAACACTGCCATCCCCGGGTGGGCCTGGGAGTTCATCTTGCTGTTTTTAGACCTTGTGTCCAACCTGCCAGGGATGCATAGCGCTCCCTCTGACTCGGCCACTCCTGTGCTTCCCCAGTCATGGAGGTTGACTCCTGCACAGAACTAGGGTTCCACGACCTACTACAGACCCCCGTGTAACGTTGCCTTTGGACGTTTGGTGGCTTGACTTGAGCCCTCAGCTCTTGCTACGTACCTGGTTCCTGGCAACCATACCCCCAGCTAACTCTTGCTGGCGATCTGGATTTCTCTTAAAGCTGTGTCCTGCGCCTGTCATGCTCTCACCACCAGAGAGGAATGATCTCTCTGCCTCACCCACGTCCCTCCCACCTGGATATTTGCCAGCACAGGGCTGAAGCTCACTAAGCCTTTTGGATACAGCGTATTGCTTGATGCCCCTGCAAGGAGTCCAGACCTCAACCCACGCGCCCAGATCCTGCTTCCCCCCCTGCCTGCCTGCCTGCCAGGGCTGTGGAGGACCCAGCGCGCTCCTGCCCAAGGTCACGCGATTTAGGACAAAAATCAGAACCAGTTCTTTGGACACACAAGAAACGTGACTGGAGATAAAGAAAGAGTCATGTCTTCATCATGGATCAGATTTCAGAAGGCATTTGTGTTTTTGGTGAAATAACATAACACCTCTAGAAATAAAGAAGAAGACTTACCTTTTAGAAATGATTTTGGATGTGGGTCATTTCAAACAGTTGTGAAGTAAATAGCTGTACTGTGGGTGGATTTTTCCATAGCTTACAGCAAAGAATCACCTACGTATTATCCTAGCCTTTTTAGATTTACTGTAGACACCTGTGAAAAATTATGGATTGGCCTTTATTACAAGCCTTTTTTGGAAACCTTTATTACTGTTCCAGCGTAAATGATAATTGAACTTCATTGGAAAAAGGACCCAGAAATACGGTTTTAAATACAGTTTATGTCAGCTTATAACAGAGTCCACATAGCTGTTAGAGATTTTCACGCTACTGACAAAATAACACTTTGCAAAACAGAAGATAAAGTCTAAAATTTTATTTACAGCCTGTTACTAAAGTAATTGTACAATTATTGTATACCAATTGATGTCAGTGTACTGTAATTTTACTGACATAAATGGTTCCTTTGACATATTTGTTATTTAAAGAAGAAAAATATATAAATAAGTGTATAATTTTTAACAAAGTCCATTTAGACAAACTGAATTCTAGAGTGACAGATACCTACTGACCTATGCAATCCCTAAATCAGGTGTTTGGGAATGTTTATTAACTATTTCATTCCTCTGTGAGACTCTAGCTGGCAGAGAATACTAATATGTATATTACTTATTACCTTAACTCTAAAAGCAGCTTCAAAACACAGGAGAAACCAGATGTGGTGCCTTTTCTTTTTTTTCCCCTTCCAAATCCACACATGGTCAGTTTTTAAAACAGAATATCATGTTTTCAAATCCTTGCCATGGATTATCCCGACATATTTTATTTAGAAAGTGAACTACACTCCTAATACCAGTTTTTACTAATGAGTCGATACTATAATAGGTATTTAGTGCAATGGGTTAAGTGTCAGGCTGAGGACCTGAGGCTGGTTTTAGTCTCTGGCACCCTACGTGGGCTGTTATTAACCTCTTTGAGCTCTGGTTTCCTCATCTGTACAATGGGATAATATTACTTTCTCATTGGGGCTTTAGAGAATTAATAAAAATGGTATATGTCAAATGCTGCTCCATATGGGGAGAGCCACACGAAGTGCTCAATGTTAGTTTTGATCATATTCATATATTTAACACAGCTAAAAGTGTTCGATTATGATTTTGAGGAACATCTCTGACAGTATGGATTCGGTGCTTAATCATTAGCAAGAAAATCATCACCCCAGTTTTGGTTAAACTCTGCTTTTTCTTCAAGGCTTTTGGCCTAAGCAGGCAGAGGGCAGAAGAATCTTAATATTAAAGCTAAGTTGGTGCCGATCTGAAGTCACAGCTCACGCGTGGACTTTTTTTTTTTAATACAATTTGCTCTGATTTGATTTGGTTCATGCATTTTTAAAAATCTTCCTCGCGGTGTGCAGTCATTAGGCTTTTATGCCTAAAGAACTGAATTCAGTTATAAGTAAAATTCATTTAACAGCACAAGTATGATTGCATGTGGTTATTTATTCACAACAAATTAGCCACATAATTCAACATATTTGATAGTGTCTGCTCATGGAACTGCGGGGAATTCTGCAGATCTCAGACAAGAAATGCTTAAGTTATAGAAGGCAGTATCCATAATGCTAATTATTCCTGACAGCATCAATATGGCAAACTATAATAGATGAAAATAGCAGTTTAAGGTGTGCCTTATTATATGTCTCTATAGGACACTTTAGTGGACCCCCTGTATGTAAAAGATGGCAGTGACTTAACGCATGGATGGGTGTGGCCCCAAGCCCTTGTATCTTTTCTTAGGAAGGTATTTGTGGAAACCATCCGTTTGAAACCCCGTCTCTCCCTCTCCTTCCCCGTGGGCTGCTGCTCAGCTGTGTTCAAAGTCAGTCCTTGATCATTCTCAAAAGGGATAATGTCTTGGTCTGATTTGAAAATAATTAGTTTCGTATTCAGGAAAGGTAGAACTAGATCTACATGCAGAATATTCCAAGGTAGTCCAATATAAAAATTTACCTAACCTGTATCTGATATTTATAGATGGGCATGGATTAATTAGCATTCTAAATTGGAATCTTAATAAATACTACCCAGCAGTGACCAATTTACATGGCATTTATCTGGGGAAACGAGCGTGCCCAAGTATCTGTCTTCTTGAGATTCATCTTGACCCAAGCAGCGATTTAAGATGTTAAAACCTTTCATTCCTTGATTAGAGTGTTCATCTTCCTGTCTCCTCATGTTCTAGTCCAAATCCAGATCTGCTAACCTGTCATCAAAAATCCAGGGGTACGTATCTGAAGCATTCCCAAGTCCCTGGGTCCTGGAAGACTCTCAAGGTGCAATGTTTTACCTATTTAATTCTTCTAAGATTCCAATTGAATACGCCTTCTTCATATTCCAGGGCCTAAATCGTTCTACAGCGTCTACTGGCATTACTTCAGGTAACCCTCCCCTCGCCCTCCCCCATGAATCACACACGTTACAGTGATTCGTGAAAGGATCCTTTCCAAAATATTACGACTTAGGAGGATATTTGCCTAAGAAGTAGAAGTCTTTCAGTGCCCCGCAAAATATCTATTGTTCTATTTTTTGACCCAATTTTACTAAGGTGAATTTCAAAACCTTGAAATAACTTTGAAATTTAGACTGTGTCAGAGGCATGTTTAAATACTTTCTTTGATACCTTAATGATGTCCTAATTAAAGAGTGAACATATTGATCATTCAGGGAAGAATAAGCACGATGTTTGTGATCATCAGGTAACAGAATGTGTTTGTGAGTCACGATTTTCGAAGAGCCATTGTTATTGAAAGCAAAGCACACTGCGGTGCAGAGGCTGTGCTTCAACGCTGAGGAACAGCAGACATTTCCGTGAATGACAATGGATGTGCTGGATGGTAAGGAAAAGTGGAGAGGAAGAGTATTCAGCGAAAGGCAGGTGACCTGTATGCACATCACTGTAGCATTACACGTAGAAGGCGACCAAAGTCAAGGTAGAGATAACCTGAAGAGGGAAAAGAAATTGCTGTTATTAAATCAAGGAAATTGAGAAAAGGATATAATCTGATAAATGAAGGGGGGGGGAAACACTGGTCCTTTCTTAAGTAGCCATTTGTTGGCTTACTATTTTTAGATGAGCGTTAAAACGTGGAATGACAGCTAATGATGCAAAGATCTGCTGATTGATGCTAGTATTGCAAGGTGCTGCTTGTTGTCTTTGTTTCCTTAATAATGAAAATACCTGAGGGGTTTGCAGGGCTTGGAAGAAAACACGGGTGAGTCTAAAAATTCAGGAACATTCCGTCATTCCGTTCTTAGCTTAATGGAGGAAGAGGCTGAAGGGGATGGAATGTTCTGGAAGAAAGAGAAATTAAAGGAAGGAGGGACGTTGGCCCAGAGGCCACGCAAAAATAACGATGAAAGTGCATCTGGAGGGAGGAGAAGGCAATCTTTTAAAGTAAAGATGTAATAAGAGCTTGCAGCATCGAAGTGTCTCACGTTCAGAGTGAAGCCCCTTGGAACGCCGCATCAGGTAGGTGTCCCAGGTCCGGGCTGTCCAGCCCTGGCGCGGCGTTCACAGTTCGCTCAGACCCCTTGAGCTCCTATGTGCAGCCCCGGAGACCGCCCTCCCTCCCGGCGGAGCGGGCCCGTCGCCACCGACGGCGCTGCTGGGGGTCCGAGTCCCCGGTCGGCACGATCCAGGAGCAAGGCAGCTCCGCCCCCCGGCCCGCGGGTCCCGGGGCCGACTCGAGGGGCCAGGCCTCGGCAACCCAGGCCGAGGGGCGATGCGGGCTGAGCCGGTGCCCCCGCTGCGCTTCGCAAGCGACACACACACACACACACACACACACAGCGCGCGCGCCCGCCGGCGCCGGACTTCAGGCCCCGCCGGCGACCCCTCCCGCCGCCTGGGCCCCCGCCGGCCCCCTTCCCCGAGCGGCGCGTCCCGCCAGCTCGAGGACTTCGTTTCGCGGCGACGACGGGGCGCGGGGCCACCGCTCGCGTTTGGACGAAGGCCACACCGCCGCGTGAGGCGTGAAGGCTGGCGGCTCAGGGGTCGGGGTTCATCCAGATGCTGGGAAGGAGGTTCTTTTGTGAGCGCGGCCAGGTCGCGCTTCCGGACAAGGACCGACTTGCAAAGATCCACAGCAAGCCGGAGAAGCCCAGGACGGAACGCGGGCGCTGCACGGCCTGCGCGCGCGTGGAAGGCCTCGGATCGGGGCCTCCGCGGGAGACTGGCGAGCAGCTCGGGGCGCAGGTCGCACCCCCTGCGCGTGGGACGCGGCTCTGGGGAAGCCCGCCCTGCGCGCGCGTGCGTGTGTGTATGTGCGTGCCTGCTTGTGGAAGCGGGGGCGGGGGCGGGGGGCGCGGCCGGGAGCGCTGGCGCCTGGGAGCGGGGCCGGCGGGGCGGGGCGGGGCGGGGCGGGGGCGGCCCGGCCCGGCGCGAAGGGGTTAAGCGCCGCCGCCGCCGCCCCCGCCCCCTCCGCGGCCGGGTGTAAACAGAGGAGCTTCAGCCTATCATGTCTGGCGGCCGCTCGCAGCCGGAGACCCGAGCCCGGCGCAGTAACACGATACGCTCCAGACCGCGGCAGCTTGGTAGCGCCGGGCTCGGCTCCCCACGGCCACAGCGAGGGCGCGCGGCGACAAGGTGGGTGAGCGGCGGCGGCGGCGACGGCGGCTCCGCGGCCTGGGCGGCTCCTCGCGGGGCTCCTCGCGCGGCTCCTCGCGCGGCTGGGTCGCTCGTTCGCGCCCGGGAACCGCGGCGGCGGCGGCGGCGGCGGCGGCAGCCCCGCTGTCCTGCCCTGTGGCGTCGGGATGGGAGGAGGCTCTGCGCGGGTTCGAATCGGGGCCCAGGCAACGTGAGCATCAGATCGGCGGGGGCGCTTTGACCCCTGAGGGGCCGCCTTTAGGGTTTAGAGGAGGCGGAGGCTGAACACTCCGGAGGACTCTGCGTCCCTCGGAGCGATGCAGGTAGCTGCGGGGAGAATGGTCTTTTGTTCGCGCGTTTTTAATTAAGTGTTTATTTTGTTATGAGTAGTGTCCAGGGCTAACCCAGGAGGTAGCGCTGTGTGTTTTCCCCGCGTTCTGTTACTTTTGCGACGTGGCGTGTTGAATTCGTGGGGAGCACATCTGGAGCTGGAGTGATTTGGGATCGTTGATGTCTCCGGGGTTTCAAAATCCGCCTTGAGCTGGAATTAATCAGCCCTTCGGTTTCCTGAACTAAGGTCCGTCGTGCCAGCGGTTTAGGGCGGGGCGGGGCAGGGAGGGAGGCACACAGTAATCTGGCTAATGATTAAAAGAGCAGCTCTTCTCCTGCAAAATACTCAGCGTGTGATTTTTTTCTGGAGAGGGTTTTGCAGGGCAGAGGCTCTAAAAGAAATCCCGCTTTTCCGTCGTGCTTCGATGCAGGTCGCTCCCGTGGAGGAACTAGTTGGGAATGATTTTTGGAAATAACTTGCGCACTGTCTATCGAAGTCGGAATCATTTACCATTTATGTGTGTATCTTAATAAAATAAAACAAGGATCCGTGGCAGCTCTCAGAATGAGAGGTCACATTTCCTCTCTCTCCCTGTGCTGGCATCTCTCTCTCTCTCTCCGAATATCTCCTAAATGAGATGTACAAAAATGCGTGCTGTGTCCCAAAGCCATTCTGTCTTCCGAAAGCCTGAGATAATCAAATTCAGCGCCGTTAAGAGGGTGTAGTTGAAGATTTGATCCCCTTCCACTGAAGTGGAAATACTTTCAGTAATTGAAAGCAGATTCACGTCTGGAGTTGTACAAGCCAAGGTTTTCATTTTTAAAATAAACCTTTTGTTCTCTGGCTTTAAAAGTTCCGGAGAGCCATCCAGAGACCTCTGTGTGCGCTAATCGTTAAAGTAGCCAAGGCTTGAACATACCCAGGGAAGGCATTTGAGAAACACAGCCTCCCTGCCTCCCAGCCTCCCTGCCTCGCGGTAGCGGACTGTTGAGAGCAGCCTGCACCGTCTGGGCCCCGCGTTTCGCTCTCTCCCCGGATTCCCAGACGTTCAAATGCAGCTGTACTGTTCAGAACCCCCAAACCCCAGGGAGAGCCCATCTGTTTTAAGAGGTTAAAAAACTTGAAAAATTTTGGTGTTATCCCATTGTATGTTGCGATATACACAGTTTGGTGCTAAACTTTGTAATCAAGCATGAAGTATGCTTCATTTAAGCAGATGCCGATTATACCTCAACCGGTAGATTGAAACGTACAAAATATGATCGCATGTTAACATGGTTGCTCTCTCATCTTTGGAGGCTAAGTGTTGAAAGCTTTTAAAAACTGGCTCTTGAAGACTGAGATGAGGATGCATTCTAGACAAGGAGAGAGTCACTTACTCTCTTTTTAGCTGTGAAGATTGAGAAGGATGGCGGTGTGCAAGAGGGGTACCTTCCTTCTTCAGGACAAGGAATCGAAGATGAATTGTGTAGTTATGAGGGAAAAGTGAGAAGAGTTGCACTTTTAACAGTGATAACTGAGATCAGAGAAAAAACAGAAAGCAGTATTCCAAATATTTTTAATAACTACTTTCTTAAACCTAGTTTGGTGATTATCACTAAGATGTGAATGGGCGTATTTACAGAGTATGACATGGCAGTTTGATTTCTTAAAAACTACTTGGTAGCTCCGTATTTTACCTGGTTTCCTCGTCTTGATAGTTAATCCTTTGAGCACATTAAAAGAAATATGAAGTGAATAACTTGGTCATGATTTAAATGATGTTTTTGTGAACCTGTCTCACGTAAGAGTCATCTTTTACGAAATCAGTATTTAAAAGATTCAGCAAATCTTTAACTACCAAATAAAATCTTACTACATTTTGGTTGTGTTGCATCACCTTTCTTAGATATCATTGGCCTAGTGTGTGGCATAATAGAATTTAATTTTCCTCAAAGATTCAGAAAGAAAAAAGCAACTTCCTGTGGACCCTTACAGATGTCTGAACACTGATTTTCAGTGTAAGATCCTTATCTAAACATTTAAACTCACGCTTTCTGTGACTTCTATTTACTGTTAGTTTTTCTGTCCTTACATTTTTTTTTTTTTAACTTGGTAACGGGTGTGCATAGGATCTTCTGTCATCTGAAATCACATATTCAATTTATCACGGGATTCCTTCCTTTCATAATGTAGGGAAGTGGCAAAGGAGGCACTGTCTAAATGCGGCGATCTTGATAATTAATGCCATAAAATAGATTAAAATGCTGTATTCCAGGTATTCATTTACTTAAAAGGGCCACCAGAACAGCGTTGCTAAGCACCCGTCACTACTGCAAGTAACAGAAAATGACCCAAATTAAAGAACCTGTTCTAAGCTGTATTCTTGCATTTTCTAAAGTGCATTTCAAAAGGTTTAACCAGACTCATTCAATTAGTGGAGAAAAAAGGATCTATTTTCAGCTCTGATCAGCAATTAAAAGATTGGGCTTTGGAACATCAGTCTCTTTATAATTTATTTTGTTTTCTAGACTTTAAACAATTGTGAATAAAGATTTTTAACAAATCACCTTTCTTACAATCCAACGGTAAATGCTAAACGTAGGGCAGTATATTTGCTTTAAATTTCTGTCTAATTGAGTAATTTTTATTAGCTTTTCCCTCATTTTAAAAAAGTTTAAATTTTACACTAATATGGTAAACTACTGCTTCACTCTGGATTTCTTACTCTTTCTTTGTGAAAAAAAAATATATATACATGCATACATACATGTGTGGTTTAAAGTATGGTTGTAATTATTTGATCCTATCCTAGATATGAGTGCTTTAGCACCAAGCCCTTGAGAAGTATTAGGATATATTTCCTCAAGGATGTTTGGATGGTGTGAATTTGGTACCACGAAGGAGAGAGAGTGATATGTCAAAGTGAGAAAGTAAATAAGTCAATTAGGGGCAGTAGGGTGCTTTTTGTTGTTGTTGTTGTTTTTTAAGAATAAAGTTAGCTGTACCCTTCTGGGTTAGACCAGAGCTTCTATGTAGTTAGGGCTAAAAACCTAAGCCACAACTGTTGAAGTGTTTAATGAGTTACATCTTCCCGGGACCTGGTTCTTAGCTAATCCAACAACAGTCATAAATACAAGTTGGGGAACTTTCTGGTCGAGGAAAGGATTTGATGGATAAGGGCTGTTAGAGGAATAGGAGAGATGAGACAGGAGTTCCCAAAGGTTTAGATTAGGATTATTAGCAAGATTTTTTGCTCTATCACATTGATCTGGGCAAGTTTAAAGCATATAAACATAGATATTAAGTTATCAATCTTAAGTGATTATATATGAAGTGATTCCATATCTTCAAACACTGAATATTTTTAAAGCCAACATAACACTTAATTCTTTCTTCTGAGAGAGATGTTTTACAATAGTAATTCATTATATTTAGTTTTATCAGATCGTTTGGCATTACAGATTAGTCTAGTAATAGATAATATAAAATACATGAGATTTGTATGACTTTTGTTACAGTGTTGTCTAAAATGGAAAGTTATTTATTGTAATACTTGTTTACGTCTAAGGCCTTTCAACTTGAAGTCTCAGTTTGGGTATTTGGAGTGTGTTTGTTTTTTGACACGTCAAAATTTGTTTTTCCCCATAGAGAATAACATTTTGATGTGTAGAAATGATTTGATCACATGTATTTTTAGCAGCCTTGAAATGGTATATATTTTAATATTTTAAGAAACCAGTTGCTTTAAAATTGGTGTTTATATGTTGATTTTAGTTAGGAACCTAGCTGCTTAGTTACAAATCCTATGTGTTTAAGTTTTGAAATATCTACTCTTACTTTTTTACCACAAAAGGATGAAAAAAGCTACCTCTTTGGTATCCCAGAAACAATGTATACCATAGATGTCACTGATGGGAAATTCATTTCAC